AAAGTCGATGAGTGACAAGTAACAAAAGTCCGTTCAAATTTTGTTTGTTTAAAACCTTGCGAAAGTTCCCTGGATATTACGAAGAAGCCTCTCAAAGTGGGTCAGAAATGAGCTCACCTCAGCTTCTGGATCCTCCCCAACTTCAGTGAGGACGTAAAATAACAATGGCCGAGGTTTACCCCGAGCAACACAACGGACATTGATCTGAAACGAGTTGGTAGTTGATAAAAGAGAAACTTTTGTAAATCGCTCACCTTTTCCCACGATTCTACTAGTAAGTGTTCTCGACCTGGTGGTGAAGTATATTCGAGTGAGACTGTGATTGGAATGGCTGAAAGGAGGAAGATTGAAGTTTATAACTATCAACCTCAGAACCGTCAGAAGAACTTTGAGAAGAACCTCGCCGTTGACTCATCAGCTCCCTGTATGCGCCGCGCATTCGACTTTTGATGAAAATAGTAACATTGTTCATGTTGACAGCTCATACAAACGTCTCTACGATCTTAAACGGAAGTCAAATGCGTGGCGCATCTGCGAGAAGCTAACCAGCGACAAGAAAAATATTCTCTGCATCCGCAGGTGGCCTCCCCTGACCAGGAAAGTCTCAATTACTGGAAAAACTCACTATCTTTTTCGATTGCCACAATATCAGAGATCACTCCTGGTCCACTGTCAGCTGCGGCTTGAACACGCACGTAAAAAGCTTCCTCGGACTTCGCCAGAACCCTGAAATGAATCTCATCTAAGCCTTCCGCGGTCCTTACAAGTGGCCAGGATACCAAACCTAACGCTGTTCTCTGTGCCGTCGAGCACCAATTTTTGCCAATCTGACAGAGGATCATCTTTATTGAACGTGTGATACACGACATACTTCTGAAATAATATTCATACCGTACCTGGCACCAAGACAGTTTTGAGAAGGGTAAATGGCCCGAGACAACGTCACGCCCATTTTCTGCTCGTCTGCGCCTTCTCAACGAGGTAGTGCTCGTTGACTTTTCTTGACGCCGGTTAAGATGCAAATGAGCGAAACCCAAGTCTGACATCACCTCGCCCACTGACCCTTCCACTTCCTCAGTGTCTTCACAAAAACTCACTGTGATGTTCCATTTGGATGTGATGGTGGTAGCCAAGATACGGTATAGCCACCTCGTTCACTTTGCACTGTGACAGTGGACGGCGGGCTGCCTGGCCCACGTATCTGGACGCTGACCGATCGAGCGACTTGGCCAGCTGGATTCACTGCAACGCATGTAAGATTGTCGCTGCGAGTGCTGAAAATAAGACTCGGAGCTGCTCAAATGGCGTTCTGCAGGAATAGACAAACCTGGACTTCATTTTGAGTACCGATGACAGGTTATCGTCATTGAGCGTCGTGGTGGTGACAGTGTAGAACGTGTGGTCGTGCTGTATGCGTTGGCCTAAGAATCTCACAGGTGATAGTTTCAGTGTTACTTACAGGGCATATCACCGTTTGAGATCCCTAACAAGAGGGGGGGGGGTGTGCATTGGTCGTTGGATTGAGGGAGGGGGTCGTATTTCCTTCCGAGAGGTGTTGATTTTTCGTGGTTTTCCTGTTTCATATATGCTATATACCCCGCGCCCCCGCTCGACAGCTGGGCAGCAGCTAGCTACCCTTTAGAGGGTTGTATGGAGTCGACCAAAATCCCCAAGCAATGATGTGCCCTGATTACCTACGAGATCCTGCCTCGTTAGGCGCTCTCCCCATGATCGTTGAGGCAAAGAGATGAAAAATCTTCCGTTCTGCGGAGTCTAGTTTCTGTCGCAGCAGTTCGGATCTCCTGGCCTACACCCCACATCTTCAATGCTTCTCGGTACCTTCTTACTACTCCTCGGAGCGTAACCCTCCAGTTTCACTGAATGGTTCATGAGAACCCCCTTACCCCTTTTTGCAACTTCAATCCAATCTAACTGATTATACAATGTATAACTTACCGTAACTAGTCCAGCAATACTTTGGTATGGCGGCTGTCGAAATAAACATCACAGCGACCTCAAGCGGTACAAAGAGGTCAGGATCGCAGTACGAGTTCATCTTTCCGGCCGTCCAAGTCACCTCAGGGCAACATGAGCTAAAAAACAATATACGCAAACGATACAACAAAATTCTCAAATAATTAGATGGCACTATGAGAATTTTGGGAACGATGTCCATGGATAAGCCCCTCCCGCTTATCTTGCGTGAAGCCTGCAACTCCTGGCAGCGAACCATAAGCTCGCCCAATTAAATATTGTTACTACTGATGCTGGGCGCGTGGCCGCAGTTTCGCCTGCGGTTTGCCAGCCTGTTTTTTTCCCATTCTTTTCTCTCATGGCGGAGACTGTATCCATATCGTTCGTATCACTAGCTTTCCAACACTTCGCTTGCCCGCTTCAGCGATTGGTGAAGAACGTGGTGACGCCACGCCAAACTCATCCCTCCTGACCCTCCCCAGCATAAGCAGCGAACAAGCTTGCAGCTGTGTACTTACTACTCATAAAGGGGAACAAGTTAGCCCTGGAAAATTTCCAGTAAGAACCACCATCAGAAAGTGGTTCCTTCATTGATGGAACACAAAGCCTTTCCTAAGTTCAGCCTATATCTCATTATGTTATCGGAAGTCGGAAATCGAAAGGCGTAAGACAGTAATCATACCAGTGTTGTTCGTGGTGAATGTGACCGTCCGTGAGCGACGTCCATGAATGACGTGACCGTTCATGAACAGACGGGCCTCATAAGTCCTGTTGGGTAGAAGGCTGGTGAGCAGCACTCGACTTGACGCATCCGATTCGAAATCGAAATGACTCCAATTTGCTTCACCACTCGTCACATCTCGGTATTCAACAGTGTAGTTCTGTAACCACAGAGTTTCCGTTTTATAGTATGCACATATGTTAGATAAAATCCTACCGAAACTAGATCCACATCTTCAGCAGGTAAAAAATCGAAGAACACACTGCCATTGACTAGTACCTTTACAGCTTGAATGAGTGGTGACTTCGAAGCTTAAAAGGTTTGGAATGAATTTTTGGCGCAATTCGACTTGGTGTGGGGACCATTTAGTACACAGCGAAGCTTGTAGAGGCCAACTTGTGAAGTGAAATCTGCGTCCGAATTGGCACAAAATCTTCACAAGAGTTCACTGGTCCCACCAAGATAAGACCATTCAGATCACATGAACAAACGAAAGGGACTAGCGAACATGCGAAATGCCCCTCTTTCCTCCCCCCCCCCTCCTCTAAATTCATACAGCGATTTTTCGCTTTTTGATCTTGATTTCGTGAAAGCATCGTCCCAATAAAAATGGACTTCTTATTAAGTGTCCAGGTTCGACTCTCGATGAATCTTGGCATACTTTGAATTCCTATAGGGTATTGCTTTAGCCGTAACCAAGATGGTATAAAAGTTTTATTGGCTAACGTTTCGGCGCCTTATCGCCTTCGTCAGAGCCTGGAAAAAG